AACCTTTGAAGGTTTAAGATCGATGATAAACCTTTCGAAAAAACCTTTAAGGGTTTTTTAAGGGGTTTAGTTCGCTTACTAAACCCTTTAAGGTTTAGTAAACGACGCTTTTTTTTTAGAGTGTAGAAGATTATTGGACAGGACTTATTTTTGAAAGTTACCAAATGAATGACAATGGTTTTCTTAATTTAAGAGAAATTTACGCGAGATAACTATTGGAAAATGAAGAATAGACAGAACTTTCCATTGATAGTTATAAAACGAGGAAAGTACTGACTATTTACCTTTTTTTTTTAACCAATCACTCACTTAATCATCCCATTGTTAAACTGTTAATCTCAATAGAAAATTTTCAAAAACAATCCGTTTCTGATTATATATCTGTTTGTAATGCACATAAGATGTATGTACTAATCTAATGAATTTACACATTGAATAGTTTATTGCTAACAATGACATTTTTATTGACCTTCGTATTCTTTTCATACAAAATATTTATATATTTTTTATATTAGTTCTCTCTCAATTAATCATTTTTCAATTGATCATTGAAAATTTTCAATGAGTGTAGATGAAAGAAACATGCAATTATCACCTAGTCTATTATTAAAAGTACGATGTAAATGCTAATTTTATGACACACTCTTTATTAGAGAAAAATTATCAGCCATATTTCCTCATTACAAATGTAAATACATTTAGAAAGAGAAAGAAAGTTTAAGTATTTAAAGAAGAGAAAGAAAGAAAAGAAAAGAAAGAAAAAAAAAAGGAGGAAAACGAACAGGTGAGACAATTAAACATTGTTGTTTTATTCTCAATATTTTTATTATCATTTACTTTGAACGCGATGATAATGAAGTTCAACAACACTCTCGTTTTTTTTTCTTCTTCTTGTCTTCCAGGTGTTGAGGATATATGGTCGAAAAAACCTATATTAAAATGATTTCCGTTTTTCACTAAATAGGTGAGTGATCAAAAATTAAATATATTTTCTAAAATAAGATTTTCTTTCGTCTTTTAACACACTATATATGCTACATAGAAAGATATTTTTGTATGTTTTGTTTATTTCTTTTTTTCATCATTTAACATCAAGTTGAACAATTTTTGTTTTAAATTTTAGATGCAAACAGTTATTTTTCTAATGTCCATTTTTATTCTTTTTTCTCTTGTCCATTTCTGTGTTGTTTATTCTAATTCACCACGTATAATCACAATTCACGTTGATGAAGAAATACCATTAAATACGGTATTGTTTACATATTTACCAACCGATTTATCTACCTATCGTTTATTTGATACAAATCGTAATCATAATTCATTTGTTAAATTTGATTCACAAACAGGACGTTTAATATTACAACGTTCAATTGATCGTGAACGATTATGTATTGAACATATATGTGATTGTTTAAAATGTGAATTAAAAATAGAAATAATTGAATGGCAACAAGCAACAACAACCTATTCTGTTTTAAAATTAATATTAATTATTGATGATATTAATGATAATTATCCAATATTTAATCGTAATTCTTATGAATTAAATATTATGGAAAATGTACCAAAAAATTTTTTATTACAATTAGAATCAGCTAGTGATGCTGATTTAAATAATAATGGTAAAATTGGTTATGAATTAATATCATTGAATAAATCATTATCATTACCATTTGTATTATATCATAATGAAAAAACGAATACTATAGCATTACGAGTAATTGAAGAATTAGATCGAGAATTAACGGATACATATTTATATCGTTTAATAGCGTACGATTATGGTCATCCAAGAAAACAAAGTTCAACCATTCTTCATATTATAGTTAATGTAAGAAATTTAAAAAATATATGTTGTTTTTTGAAGTATCTGTTTAATATACATCTTTGTAGGATGTTAATGATAATATACCTGTATTGGAACATCAATTGATTAAGTTAAATATTAGTGAAGATACTTCAATTGGAACAGAATTAACAAGAATAAATGCCACCGATGCTGATATTGGATTGAACGGAAAAGTAAAGTGTTAAAAGAAATGATCAAGTACAATAATAATGACTATTGATTTATGTTTAGCTCCGTTATTCCATAACAAATGGTATTCCATCTGTATGGATCGATCATTTTCGTATTAATGAAATAACAGGAGTGTAAGAGTTAGAAGACACCATTCTCAACTAATAAAATGGCATTCATTTTTCTCTATTATAGTTTAACTCTTGTTGGTCCCGTTGATTATGAATCTGAACAATATTTTCGTCTAACTGTACAAGTTAAAGATCTTGGTGAAAGTTCCATGCCAGTATTTTGTACAATTGAATTAAATATCACAGATAGGTAAGAGTTAAGACGTACAAGATGAAAGAGAGAAATTTCTTATAAAAAAAACAACAACAGCAACAACTCTTTTCTAATATTAGAAATGATAATGGTCCCAATGTTTACATTACATTTGTTGAACAACTCGACTATGGATTGTATGAAAATCGTTCAACAATTTACATTCGAGAAAATATTCAATCGGGACAAATTATTGCGCATGTAGCAGTAAACGATTTGGATTCGAATGAAAATGGGCAATTAGAATGGAAAATTGAGAGTAAACTATTACAAACAAAAACCATTGATAATCAATCTTTTCTACTTATAACTCGTAATGATATGATAATTGATCGTGAAAAACAAGATCATGATAAATTAATTCTTATTGTCAATGATAAAGGTATACCAAAAAAGACAATTCGAATGGAATATAACATCATAGTTATGGATGAAAATGATAATGAACCTATATTTAATGAAACAAATTGTAATATTCAATTAATTGGAAATAAAACACACGGTAAATATTTAAAATCTATTATGATATCGAAAAACCTTGGCAGGGTACCACATAAAGGTGGAACTCCTGATACTGAGACGTCTAGTCACGTTAAGAGGTTGTGACTATCACTTTAGGAGGAGTAACAGTTTTATACCCCAAAACCGCTGTTTTTAAGATAAATTTGACCCTTCCTCCCCTAGAGGACACAATCTCTTAGAAAGACGCATACAATCTCCCTTCTTCTTCGAAGATAGTGAGGGAGTTCCACAATAAGACATCACTCTTTAAAATCTTTTGTGGTATTAAAATAAGACATCACTCATTTTTTTTCGTGATTATAGATCCATTATTTATTGTTAATGCATATGATATCGATATTAATGAAAATAGTCGTATATCGTATAAAATAGCACCGCCCAATGATAAATATTTTTATATTACATTTGATGGTGAAGTATATGTGAATAATACACTTGATTATGAAACAGCAAGAGAATATAAATTAGAAATAATTGCACAAGATAATGGTATATCTGTTCAATTAAATAAAACAAAACAATGTCTAATATCAATTCAAAATTTAAATAATTATCGATCGATTTTTGAAAAAGATAATTATGAATATTATTTAGATGAGAATAGTCAAGTGCCATCTACAATTGGACAAATACATGTTAATGATTATGATCATACTAAACAATTATATTATTCACTTATATCAAATATAACATTTCTTCCATTTAGTATAGATGAATATGGTACACTTATACTTGTTCGACCACTCGATTATGAACAAATTAAACAATATAATTTTTTTGTCAATGTAAAAGATAATGAACAATTAAAAATTAATGTACCAGTTCGAATCTATGTTCAAAATATAAATGATAATTGTGCAAAAGTTCATATTACATCCAATATATTCTATATTAATATTGATAATTTAACAGATAATTATGATAACCGTAAACAATTAGGACAAATTCAAATTGAAGATGCTGATAATGATACAGCCATATTAACAATATTAAATTCACAACAATCTCCTGTTGAATTAATACAATTATCTCATAATCAATATAGCATTTTTCCAGTTAATAAGTCAAAATTATTTGAAGGGCAATATTTAATTGAAGTTAATGTATTTGACGGACATTATACATATATTGAACGATGTGATTTAGCAATAAAAATAATGGTTGTTTGTGGTACAAATCAAACGAATAAAACAAGAGCTTTATTATTAGGTGAAGAAGAATTATTACGAATTCTACAACAAAAATCAACATCAATAACATCATCTACGAAAATTCATCGATACTATTATTATTTAATTACTTTTTTATGTTTTATTATTGTACTTTCGTTTGGTACAATATTGACTGCTATATGTTTACATACAATTATGTGTAGTAGTCAAAGTAGACGATATAATTGTAAACGAAAAACAATTGAATATCAACAACAACAACAAAAATTGTACGATAAATATATTGGAGATAATGGTAGTAGTGGTGATGGTAGTAGTAGCAGTAATAATATGGGTAGAAAAGATGATTTATTATTACATGAAAGACAAATGTTGGTGAATAGTGATGATGCATCATTTGAATCCGACTCGACAAACGAAAGAACAAGAAATATTTTATCAAATGTGAGTTGAACACCGTTTTGTATGTTAGTTGAGTGTAAATAGATTGTAAATTTCATTCTATTAATTTTAGAGTATCAACGTTGATCAAACATTATTACGACCCAGCACTGGTGACAGAAATCTTCGAATACGCAATAGTTATCCGCCACCATACTTATCCATGAGAAACATGTTGGAAAAGAAAAGTTTGACACCAAGTAAGACCTGCTATCGTCAGTTATTACAACAATGTTTATAAATCATATCATTTTTTTTAGCTCCTTACAAACCTAGAGACAGTGGTTATGAATCAATGGATGCTGATTCATCGTCACCTTCACAACAACAACCATCACATCAAATTCATTATACAAAACGCTTATTAATTAGAAGAGATTTACATAAACCGTGTAACTGGTATCGCCATAAAAACGATGGCGTCGATCTGACTGTAAATACTCATGTAACCGGTATATCAAGTATATCATCATCAAGGTCAACAACAAGTACCATGAATGAACGTCCATCACCACCACAACAACATTCGTCCGCTAATAATTTACACTATTTTAAAGAAACAGAAATGCAAACGTTTCGTCGACCGACAGTTCGATTAGCTGAAGAAGAAAAAATTGATGTATAGAAAGAAAGGACAAGATAAACTGGCGTATTTCAGATGTTGAAACTAGTCATTAACATTTACATCTCATTGATGTTTTTTAATTCAACCGTTTTATTACTATTTTTAAGCGTTTTTAATTGTTCTTCACAAATTCTCCGTTAATTGTTATGCATGTTTTAGTGTTATTGAAATTGAGTATCAGTGATTTCATATAGCAACATGAGTTGACTAATAAAAAAGTATTCGAGACGTCGTTAAATTATTGTCTACTTTTACCCTATCAACATTGTTGCGTATTATAAGATGTTTTGACCACTATTGTGCACCCCTTTTATTCAGTATTTTTTAATGTACCAGTATGATCGATCATTTCTTTGCAAAAACCTTTTTACTTGGATTTTATCGTACTGTACAATCTTCAATTTTTGTAATTAAAAAATTCTATTATTCATTTCAAAATATAATGCTGATGGCAAGTTTTTGATTTCAAAGAAATCATCATCACCCATTTTTACCTATTTTCATGGTTCGGAACTCTATATGAACTTTCAAAATCACCACAAAGGATTTCTGAGATAAACTTGAAAATACAAGTTTTTTAGAGAATTGTGCATTAAAGTTACACATTGATTAGTAAAACAAGCAGTAGGCATGAAAGAAAAGGTGTCGCGAACGTTTCTTACTATTACGTACACCTTTTCCCCTCAAGGTAATAAAAGCATTTTAAAAGCTTTCACTGAATATAACAATTAACTTTTTCGTCCTGATGCTTGTGTTAAGCTAACAGTAATTTATAAAGCATGAATCAACAGGTAGCTAGGATACACAAGGATAAACGAAACAGGAAAACAAGGGCTGAATATTTCATATTTAATTCGTCTAAAGTCCTTCGACAATACAATGATTAATCAACCATACAGTACTTGTCAAAAGTACCGACCCCCCCTGTAACTCAAGAACCATGATAGCTAGAGACTTCTAATTTTGTGTGGGCATAGCTCTTATCGAATGCTGATCATGCACCAAGTTTGGACCACTTTTACTAGATAGTTCGTGAGATATAAGCGATTTATCTCTTTTTCGTACAATATCAATAGCTCCTGACCTAACAGAGATGAAAACTTTTTCTTTTTACTAAAATGTAGCCACGACTCTACTCTATCTGCAGCATAATATTTTGTAAGTTCGTGTTAGTAATCAGCGAAATACAGCTATTTTACGGGCGGGGCCCCTGAAAATGAGGTTCTGAGATATGAGGTCCTTTCTAAGAAAAATTCATAACTCGTTCTAGGAACATCAATTTGACTTCAAACTCACAGCAAATACTCTTTAACGATTGTAGACTATAGAGTGAAAGTATGAAGGTTAAATATTGTGTAGTTCTGGAAATTCATTTAGAATCAGTAGACACTATTGAAACATACGCGAAATTACGACCCTGAGAAATTAAGGGTCGTCCGTTCTACCATAGCTTCTGTGGTCAATGTGCATCATAACCATGCAAAAATATAATCATGGAAGTTTATAGTGAAAAAAACAGTAGGTGAAATATTGTCAGAAAGTTTCACCTTCAAACTTACTTTCACCCTATTTTCCGCCGTTTTCAGTAAAATTGCTATAACTCTGAGTGAAACTGACAGCTACACTCGAAAGTTTCAGTTTTCATAGAGAATTATTTATACTGTAAAGTGCACACACTTTTGAAAGTTTAAACCGTCGAAGTTCAGTAAAACAAATCAAATTGAATGGTAGTCTATATGTTGGTTATGTTGAAAATGGACTTCTGAGCAATGGGGAACGGGATGCTTTTCTCTTTCTAACATTAAAGACAAAATCAAGCAGTAGGCTTTTTACTTTGATGTCTCTTTGTTGAATGCTTTCATAACCTACCGTAATATCGGTTTCGTTTATATCGAATCAACTAAGCGATTTAATTTAACTCTCTGGAACTTTGAACAATCGTCACGAATTCTCCATGCTTCACTTCCACTGACGAATCCGGAGAATATTGTAATTCAATGCGACATTCGGAGAATTAATTGGAAAAATGGGGTGCAACTGAACACACAACTAGTCAAAACTGTTAGAAACGAAATACATACGTATCACATTATTTTCCCTTTTAATACTTGGATTTCTTTAGGGTAAAGGAAGTTTATTGTTAAACATAATATGCAAACTAGGAAAGCAAGAATTTTTACAGTCAATTTATGTCGGCCTTGTCTCAGAGTATTTTGGTTTCTACACAAATAGATACAAAATTTCAATTTTATGTAGTTCTCCATATTTATTAGACATTCAAAATGTATTAGTTCATTTAAGAAATTTAATGGTCTTTGTAATGATGAATTATCATTAATAATTTTTCTTCTACAATAAAACTGAATGCCGAAACTTCTACAGAAATTAACAGAGTTCGCTGAGTTGATCCAAAAATATGTATAAATGGTTAAAAATAAATAGAAATATGATTTTAGATCATAAACCTCATTTTTACCACCCTCATCATCTTCCATGGGCGTCGCTTTCTCCTATCATGCAACCTTGAACAGGAACTCGTTCGTAGTGTAATTGATAGGTTTGGGCTGATTAGTATACTTCTCTAATAAGTTCAGTAACAATGTGTTTGATCTTTTATACTTTATGATTTTAATCTCAAATATTATTAAACTTTATTCGCATCACTAGTTCGTAAATAATTTTTGAGAAGACTCTAGAAAGACTAGACAAGGAATAAAAACAGATGGACAAATTCGTTGATACTGATGCTGTACATCAAGATGCATTATTGAATTACATGTTTTCTTGCGTATGCATTGCAACTACATTGCCGGTTAGCAGTGAATATTTCACGGTTCTTTGTCCGTATATGTTGGATAATTTGTGATATATTTCTCTGAAAAGTTGTTGAAGTCCTTATAAAAGATGCATAAGCAGTCTAAACGCTGCAGTTGTTCTAAGCGATTGAAGCTCAGTGAGAGACATTGAAGCTCGTTTTTGCATCAATAGGGTTGTATCAGAAAAAATGGGGGAAAAGAAAAACGAAACAGGTCAGTGTGGCATTTTTTGATAACTGTTAATGACAGATTATTGGTGGTTTTTCAACAAGCACAAACTCTGCTTCTATTGAATCTTCCAGAATATGTTTTCATTAGCAGTAGTCCGATCAGCTTAGAAATTTCATATAATCAAAGATTATAATCAAGAAGTTGTTTAGAATAAAAATAAAAGTTATAACATCGAAACTGTTATAAGAAGATTATTCTTAATCTTATTGGAATATTGTTACATAAAGAAGTAATAAGTAATAGAACAACAAAATTCTATTACCTTTTTATCGGTAATAAGTAGCAAACATTTATTACTTTTAGCGGATAAGGTAATAACCAGTAAAAGTAAAGTAACACCCCTTGCGATAGATGAACGGGTGGTTTCCTTGTCAGATTCAAAGTAACAATTTCATTTGTTGACTAATCAGTTGCACCCATTTTAATAATGAACTCATTCTTAAAGACGAAAATGAAATAGAACGTCGTATGTATTGCAGAAATAAATAAATAAAACTACGCAGAAAATCCATTAGTCAATTCGTCTCTGCACATTAGTGAGCATGTTTTCGACAATGTACAATTCGCGATCACTTCGAAAATGCAAACAAAGTATAACCTTTTATAAGAAAAAATCATTAGATAACAAATAACAATACAACTAATTCGTTTTAAGTCATTTAAACTTAAATTATTTAAGTCGGATGAAATGGAATCGGTCGGGGTCGTGGACGAAGATCAAGACGACCTGGACGTCGAATGAAGAAACGTGTTGAATGAGCTACTGTTAGATCGTGTATGTAAAGTCGATTTCGCCGTATTGTTGTAATGTCGAATTAGTTGTATTGTTATTTGTTGTCTAATGATTTTTTCTTATAAAAGGCTATACTACAAAGAAAAGAGAGTAAACTATACTTTATTAACATCCGTTCTGTTCTGTTCCAAACAGCCGTCGTGTTTTGTCACGAACATCCAGACATTTCTGTATAGAAAAACACTAAAACGCCTTCGCGCATGCCGTTTGGTACAGCCGGACGACTCTCATTCTGAACATTCGGATTCTTTTTGGCTATCGTTACGAATATCCGAGCGTTTTGCATTGCGATCTTTCGGACTTTTCATTCCAAACATCTGGAGTTTTTCAAAAACACGGGAGTTCTGGATGAACTACTCTCTCGGATGTCCGTAAGAAAAAGCAAGGACGAAAAGGGACGCATTGTCTGGTAATGCAGCTCCACGATAACATTGAATATGTTTCTGTAAACCATCTGGTATAATTTCAAGTTTTCATCAAAGATCCATTTTAATTATGGATAAAAAAAGAGGAGAGCTGCATGTATACCGAAAATGTGACATTGCGAACATGACCGACTGGTAGTTACCTACCTTGTGCATATTCTGATGAATCGGAATTTCGCCATCTGAATTTCAGCAATATCCAGATTCCTGGCAGGAACCTAACACCGAAGACCCTACTAGGAACTTATTAGGATCCTAAAGTGATCATAATAGGGTCCTAAATGTTTAGGATCCTAGTAGGAAACAGATAAGAAATGCATAGGATTTCGTCTAGAGTACCGTTGTACTCTGTTTGTTCATCGACAGACAAAGAAAGTAATAAAATGTTTCTCTCACAAGAAGACGCTGTCTCTCTATTTATCACCCTCTTCACCAAATCGGGTGGTGGTAACCCTAGGAAAACTCATTATTTTCTCCTACTGCTATTATTTTCTGCAAGAGCATTTGTTGAATTTATAATTTAGCTGATTCGATTTCAACAAAAAAAATTGCGTCAACATAATACTATATTACACCGGCTATAATGTGTTGTTCGCCTGATAAACATAGATGGCGCATAATTGAGGTAGATCATGAATAAGTGATACAATTTGATATCCTCATTGTTTTGACACAAGTACAATTTTGTCGATTTTAACGGTCTTAATGTATTGCTCGCATTTATCTATTTCGACG